ATGCAATCCTATGCACATTTAGAAAGGAAGAGGTCCTACAGAATTCTTTAGGGTGACAGGCTGCAAAATGCTGTGAGTTGTAAGATATATTTTTTTGGCAAAACATGCATAGAATTGCCACCTTAGACATTTCATTTAATGCGTCTATCTTGTTCTGACATGTCCTCGTGGCTTTGGAGGAATCCCTGCATGATGTTCCTTCAGAAGGGATGAGTTTTAAACACTGAAGCAAGTTAAGTGTTGAAGACTGGGACAGGTTAGACAGATTAGCGGGTGGTGCTGAGTGTGTTAGAGAGCCTGACCGCCATGTGGTAAAGGGCGCCATCCAGAGCATAGAGTGGCCCCAAGAATATGTGCACAAGCTGTCCTTGATGAGTCACATCCTCCCTCCCCAGCCTGTGCTCTCCAGATGGGGTGTAGCAACTCCCATCATCCCCAACCAGCTTGGGGTGATGGGCATTGTTGTCTGACATTTCTAGAGAGCATCCATTTAGGGAAAGTTGGCTAGATGGGAATGATGGAGTTGTAGTCCAACATGAGTGCCAGTGTGTGGTGGTTAGAGTGTTGGACTGTGGACTTGGGATATCTGGATTCAAGTCCCCACTCACCCATGAAGCTCATTGGTTGATTTTGAGCCAGTCACTCACTCTCAGCCTTACTTACTTCCCAGGGTTGTTGTGAGGAAAAAATGGAGCTATGTAAGCCAACTTGGGTTCCCCACAAGATGAAAAAAGGTGGGATAGAAATTCATTGTGGCAATAATGATGATTACAGTGTCTGCAGGGCATGAGGCTGGGAAGCCTGAGGTAGAGTTTTATAAGAAAAAGGCTAAGCTGCTTCCCCAAGGTGCTTACAGCCTCCCTTCTGACAGGTGCAAGAGATGACAGGGCAGGAGAGCAAAGATAATAATGGGAGAAATAGAAGTAAATACAGTTACATATACTTTGACTTCTTTTCACTTGGAAGGGTGACGACTAAAGGATTATGCTTGGCTTTCTAGATGGTGATAGACTGCAATTCTCACCAGCCCTAGCCAGCGCAAGCAGTGGTGAGGGGGCAGATGGCCGTTGAAGGCCATGAACAATTGGTCTGCCGCATGTTCCTTACTTCTGGGTTGCACCAAAGGCTTAATGGAAAAGGTCACTTTGAAGCCATTTGGAGAACGGAGGTCCTTATGGTTGTGAAAGAACGGGTGATAGTTCTTTGGTTGAAATGGCTTGCAGGCCACCAGAATGTCTCAAAACTGCAATCTTCTTCCATTTTAGCAAGGAGACATCTGCCCACGCATCCAGTTTGTGCTTGGCAATGTCATCCCCTCTTTCCACCTATGCCTTACGGATGGCCCGTCTAAGTGCACGGATTTTTGGAGAAGTCGCTCGTCCTACGGACTCATCCTCCATGAAAGTTGTGACGCTTCTAAGTGAGATACCCAGGGCAAAGCAGAAGGAAGTTTATGACTGGTATCCTCCTCACAATGCCTACCACGGCCTCATGCGGAAGCTTCGTTTCTATGGCCTTTACAGGTAATTCATACTGAAGCAAGAGTAGAATCCCTGAGATCTGCAACTATAGCAGGAGGAATGGCATTTATGCTTTGCTTTGGGCAGTAGGAAAAGACGTTGTGCATCATATGTGCAGAACCCCAAGTTCAACCCTTTTCAGTTGAAGGAGAGCTGGACAACTAATTTCATGTGGGCCTGCCCTCATTTCAGAAATCCTCTGCAACTGACTGCTGGTTGGGGAGGGCTAAGGGTGCAGGGAATAAGAGAAAAAAATGTGATCCTGCCCACTTTTTGTTCTGGACTTATCCCCTCCTACCTCTGGCATGTGCCCCCTCCCCTACAACAGATGAGGATTAATTTAATTTCTATACTGCCCAGTTCTCTGGTTCCAGCTTGGGTTGATGGGGGTTGTAGTCTGACATGTCTGGAGGGCATAAAATGCAGTATAACCATGCAAACAATTTTAGGCTACTGTAAATTTAATGTTTTAAAAGTTATACACAGTGTAAAACCAAATTAAAACACAAATGCAATTTACAGTGGCTTGTATGAATTGATCAGACAACCTGTTTAAGATTACCCTGAAAGAAATGCATTCTCCAATGTGGGGCATCCCCAACTCCAAGTTAAAGCATTTGTGACTTCTGTATGAGATCTTGGGAAACTGCTACCAGTCTGAGTTAATATCTGGTCATCAAAGGATGCATTAACAGTATCAACAGTGAAAGAAAAAGCTCTTATAGGGTAGCAGAACTAGTTACTCGCTCCAGCCAACTTCTACAGAAGCTCTGGCTTGGACAAAGGGATTTCCCTCCCTAAACCCATTCTCCATGTGAATAATAGAAGCTCCTTCGGGTTTTGTCTCATCTGCTGCCCACTCTCAGGGGCAGCCCAAGGGCTCCCTAAGTCTCTCTACACCAATCTTCTGTCCCTCCAAAATTCTGGCCTAAAAGTCATATCAGCCCTACACAGCATTGCCTGTAGTGAGGGATGATGGGAGCTGTAGGCCAAAACATCACGGAGACTTTAGTAGAAGGCCTTCAGCCAACCCCTCCTGTCTGTACAGCATGAGCAGCTGTTTGGATTGTCTCAGTGTTGCTCCATTCAGGGCCTCAGCTGTGAACTTTTCTACAGTAGAAGATGCAAAGCTGAGTGAGCCTCTTTTCTTCCCACTGAGGGAGAGTAAAAGACCCCTTTGCCCAAATCTGACTTACCTACTCATGCTATGGTCCCAATCCAGATCAACTTCTGGCCCCCTATGCCTGCTCAAGAATAAAAATGGTGCAGCGAGGGGAGGAAGACAAAAGCCGCTAGATACAAAATTAATGTCTGTTTTAGACTTGTAAACAGTATTTCAAGCTATGGCATCTAGAGTTTTTGGCATGGTACTAACTTCAAACCACTTTATTCTAATAGGCTGTACCTGCTGCTATTTTTAAACCTTGTATAATGGCTGTCCAGGTGTTCTTTGTGCTGCTGGGGAGAAAATGGCAAAGCTGCCCACTTCACAGAGGGGCTTCCCTTTGCACAGGAAGATGTAAATTACATGCTTAGCTTTTGCAAGCATCTCTTTTTAGCTGGTCTCCTGCTCAGAAAAGCCTGCAAGGGATCACAATCACCTTTCAGAAATGCATTTGGCTACAGGCAGTAAACATTTTATGGGGGTGGAATAAAATCAAGGCCTGAGAGGTACTTCATGAACGTTTAATAGTATTAGCAGCTCAACGGCCTTAGGCAAACGATATTACCAGGCAAATGATATTATCTTGCTAATGGACAAGTGAAGCAACTGGGAATGGTAAATCAAAATTAAAGCTCTAATTCAGTGCAGGGCTCTTTAATCAAAGTTGGCTTTATTAAAAGGCATACTTTGATCCTGTTAGTGTAGTCAGAATGCTCACTACAGCCGAAAAAAAAAAAAGACATGTGAAGAGACTAGTCTCTTAGGGTCTCATTAAGTCCCCCCAAAGATATTGCCATGGTCACTAGAAAGCATAATAATCAGCCACTGTCAGAAGGCTACAAGTTCAATCATGCATGTTGGAGAAAAATATAAGTCTGGATATTGAAGGGCAAGGGGGCCATTACAAGATGTCTAGAAAAGAAAATTATGTTGATACTGTATTTATGTTAACCTGAGGCTTTTTAAATATTTGAATCTTCACATGCAGTTTTATTGGAGCCAGAACCTAGATTCTTGAAATGCTTTGTTCTCAATTTTTTTTTTCTGGAATATGTTTCTAGCACTTATAGTTATGGAAGGACATTTTGGAACAAGTGCATGAAGCATTTGCACATGGCTCCAAAGTTCAAAGCAACATGCTTTTTTTTCTTGCCTAATCATATACATCAGTGTTATTCCAAGTCAGACTATTTATTTCCTTCATTCCAAAGATTTATACTCAGTCGTTCCACTAAAACAGCAATCACGGCAGTTTACGAATTCCAATTAAAGGCCCTCAGCAGATAAGAATGAAAAATAGATAATGCAAGAATCCAGCAGCATGGATACCCATAAAGGACAGGGAATGTTAATTACAACTAATATGATTTACTGTTTAAAAGCATGAATGAACAGAATGTCTGGTGTTTAATGAAATACTGAGTGAATCTTTCAGGGAGGTGGGAGTGGAAAATTTCAAAGCTGTAGTGCCTGCAGAAACAAGACACTTTCTCCAGCAACCACCTGTGCAACCTGATATGGGTGGAGGAGCACCTTGAAAAAGGGCTTCTCAGCTAAATGGATGGACAGATTTTCCATTTATCTGGTGGTAAATAAGGCAGGGGAGCAGACACTTAGGCTTGGGAGTCACCATCTTAAGTGGCCATGTTCCCTTCCACCTTTGTTGCCTGACTACAAGTCACTTGATGGTTTTTGTAGGTTTTGTGCAATGTTTTCCTCCATCCTAGAAGCCTGAAATGCCTTTTCAAAGGCTTTAAACTACAATAAGCCTGTATATTTGGTCCCACCCCTTTTGCTTTTGACTCCACCTAACACTGGAATGGAGCTCCTAAAACCTTCTCCAAAATGGAATTTGGGTCTCAGACTGAAAAATAGTCAAGATCCTTATCCCTTCAGCTAAGGTTCCAGCCAGAAGTCATTCCTGTCACCTGCAACCTTGGGTACTTTTTGATCAAATATAGCAGGGATTGAACCTGGGACGTTTTGCATATAGAGCCAGATGCTCTATCACTTCTGCCCTTCTATGCTGTCATAACTTCTTGTAATTTTGCCTGCTAATAATCTCTTCTGCCTCTTCTGCTTACTTCATCTTCTGTCAAAATTCCAATGCTCTGCAAAAACACTAGAGGTTGCTTCACATAAACATGGATTTCATCTGCCTGTGTGGGGTCAGGTGGGCAATGGTCCTGTGCAAAGCAGCCTTAAAATCAGGAAGTAGTTCATCCAAAGCAGACATTTGGCTTACTGGTCTGTCTGTTTACCTTGAATCAAATCAAGCATTCTTGTGCACTTGGTTTGGGACCTAATTCTATCTACTGCCAATCCAGTTAATCACTTTGGGTATGATCAGATGACATCTTTATTCAACCAGGTTATTTTGTCCCTATCCCTACCTTCTGGTTTCTTCTCTCCCAAGTAAAAAGGCAGATTGATGTGAGAACTTAAAAGCAAAGGCAGTCCTGCAGAAAAATAGGTGCTTTCAGTATGTCTAGAACAGCTTTCCAGTCTGATACCTTCCAGATATTTGGGAATTCAGCTCCCATCAGTAACAGCCAGCATGATGAGTGGCCAGGAATTCTAGGAAATGTAGTCCAAAACAATGAAGAGGCACCAGATTAAGAAAGGTTGCACCAGAATAAATCAGGATTCTCCACAGAGTTGCTTCACAGGTCGGGGACTGTTTAGGGGCTTGGGACAGATAGTATTAACTTGACTTTTTTTTTCAAATTGGAGTATACAAATTCAGAAGTGTCCAAAATTTCATAAATGTTTTCCTGTTTGAGATGAAAAGGAAGCCTTTCAGAAATTTTGAATAGAAGTTATGGGAAACAGTACTATTATTACCCATACTTATAACAGGGCTTTAACTTGTGAACTGCCCAGAGTTAGATAGAACTGACAGATTAATTCCCTAGGAAACTGGAGAAGTTGGCTTTACTAGGAGACAGGAGGGATCTCTTTCTCTTTCCTTCCACTGACTTACTTTCCATTGTATCTATGGACTAGGGGTGCATATGGTGATATACATTGCAGTGCTATTTAGCATAGATGCACCATGGCAGTGATTGCATATGTTGCATATTTCTTCATCTCACTATGGAACACTTTTGTTCATTGATCAAAGTCACTCTGATTTGGAAAGAGAAAAGCATGTCTTTTTAGCTCCTTAACCTGCTGTCTGCATCCTTCCTTTTGTTATAGAGATGAACATGAAGATTTCAAAGATGAGATGAAGCGACTGAGAAAGCTCCGTGGGAAAGTACCCCCCAAGAAAGGAGAAGGAAAGAGAGCTTCGAAGAACAAATAGAGTCATCATGAAAACAGTGTATTTAATAAAACATCTTGGAACAAATGGAGGGTTTCCACTTGCCTTTGAAGGGAAATGTATAACAAATATAGACCTCTTTCACATGTGTTCACATCAGCACGGAAGCCCCTGTGCCATGAAGCAAATCCTACAGAGCAGGCTGTTGAAAGAAGCTAGAAGGTTGCTGGGCCAGTTCCTATGGGAGGAAAGTAATTTTTGGGATGTCCTGGTCCTAGGTTGTTAGGATCTGTTTCCCAGCCTGGTTCCCTCCAGATTTGTTGCACTGCAACTCTCAAAAATCCCAGCCAGCAGTCCCAACACATCTGGCACACACCAGGTTAGGGGTGGCTGGTTTAGATCTTTAAGGTCTTTTCCTACCTGGTGTCTTGATTAAGGCCTAGAAGCAGCGGGGAAAGCTAGTACAAGGATGGCTTGATAGGATCCAGTCAACTGGCTCCAAGCAAACTTCTGGCAGAACCAATTGAAGTTTCTAGGCTCTCTTCAAGGTGAGTTTCATGCAGAGTGCATCACACTAGTCTAACCTGGAGCTGACCCGAGCATGAATAACCGAATACCGTGCACCAAGGAACTGCTTAGACAGAGCTATTTGGTGTTATATCCTGCTTCTCATTGGTGCATATTTTAATTTAAAGCCCTTAGTGCCAGTAAAGAGCCTTAGGAGAGGTATTTGAATCTTTCAGAATGGAGAAAAAATCTGCAGAATAACTGAGAAACCACTCAAAAGAAAGTGGGGGTGACATACGGACAGGATCTGACACCTGGACCCTAATGTTCAACTTTCCTGTTCTAAGTCATAAAGAAAATAAGTGCATGTACCCATTAATTGGGATGCAGGTGGCACAGTGGTTTAAACTGCTATGTTGCTGGGCTGGTTGATCAAAAGGCCGCTGGTTCAAATCTGCACAACAGGGTAAGTTCCCGTCGCTCTGTCCCAGCTCCTTGCAATTCGAAAGCATGCAAATGCAAGCAGATAAAAAGGTACCATTTTGGTGGGCAGGTAACAGCATTCCGTGCACCTCGGTGTTTAGTCATGCTGGCCACATGACCATGGAGACTGTCCGTGGACAAACGCTGGCTCCCTTGGCTAGGAAACGGAGGTAAGCACTGCCCCCAAGAGTCAGACATGACTGGACTTAACATCAAGGGGAAACCTTTACCTTTACCTATTAATTTGGCACACACTAGTGATAAACTACATTCATATCCTCAGACTTGTAAGACATGACTAAACAGAGGTCTACTTCTACTGATACGTATCTTGCTGTTCCTCTGTGTTGCACTATTCGTACGCTCAATAAACGCTCTGGGTGTTCTTTTTGATAGAGTTGGGCATCTCCAGCTATGGTCACCAGTTTCTGCCTGTGATGATTTCTGGGTGACTTGTGCTAGAGCAGAATTGTGCCCGCTAGCTCTTGTTCGTGAAGCTTGTCATTTTGTCCTCATTTCAGCCCAGCTACATAGAGATCCCCATTAAAACACCCTTTCATGCAGGGTGAACCCTTTAGATCAAAGTTGTTGCCAAGGTCATGCTCCTAGAAAGGGCTTAATTGGATTATAGGTCCCCTTTTTAATTGAAATGTATGTCATTTGTTATGGAATGAAAGGAATCTGTTCAGAGAAATAATACATGGAAGCTTCATTGTTCTTTGCCGAAGAACCAGAAGTTCACATCAGTATGTATTCCACCATTTCTCACCATCCTGACTGGCTCTTGCTTTCGCTTTTCATGTTTTAAATTTCATTTATCCCAAGGAGGAATGCTCAGGATAGGAAGCTCCATTCAGCCTCCCACACACTTTTCCATATTTAACCCCCTCCCAAGCACAGGACAGTTTTCATTGAGCTGTTTGAGGGATCTCCCCACTTTAAGATCTCCCTCTTCTAAAGAGTTTGTTCTGCTGCAAATCTCAAGGTTTCTCTGAGCCTATTCCTGTGTGCAGATGATCTTAGATAAACAATGGCAGCTGTGAACAAATTAGCACTATTTGTTAGGTTAGGAACACTAAGGCTTGAGAGACAAGCAATTAGTACTAGGCCCACCGTGGAAAGATTATTGGTTTGCTTGTTTTTAACTTGCACATTTACTTGTGCAAGTAACATCTGACCACTGGAGGCCAGGACCTCTTACAGATTGTCTGCAAATCACCCAGAGGACAAGCAGTAGATCTTACTCTATCCAAACCTTGTGGTCATTTAAGCCTGACAGGAGGGACTACACTGTTGTGATATCGCACATCACCTGTTATAGTGTAGTTACAACAAATGGCATTAAAACAAAGTCCAGAGCTCTTATTTCTGTTTTATCCTGCAGGGTGTGAACATGTCTAACATCAGCGGAATCATCTCTGCATGCGAGAGTTCATAATTCCTTAGAGAAATATTGCCTGATGGATGACCCATGATGAGCAGGAAAAGGGTCATCCATAAGTCACTATGATTTTTTGTTTTAGCCAACTAGACTTGTAATCTTGAAATGTGCAGCTACATGCTTTAATTCCAAAGTTTTTGGAGTGAGTTTCTTGTTGCTGTTCAGGAAGGTTCTTCAGGGAATATTCGCCTTGTTTAAAGGCAAATCTGTCTAAATGTAGTGTTTAATTAGAATGGATTTTAGCATCTGTATAGTGGAGTTTTAACATATGTGAAAGCATATGCAATTTTTTTTAAATATATCATCTTCTACATTCTAACTTAAAAAATGACACACAGACCACAAGTTAGGCCAGAGTTTTTCCACAGGGTGTAAACTTGATTGAAAAAAAGGCGCTGCGGCAAATCATGGCTCTCCATGATACACGTCATTTCAATTGTTTCTTTCTTACACTGTACAATGTTTAAAGAAAACTTAAAGCAGTGGATTTGAACTACTCACACTTGAAGTAGGCCGTGGAAATCAAGGGGATATGGGAGAATCAAGGGGAATCAAGGAGGAATTCCGGGGACATTAGTATGGGTCTACTCTATACAGCGCCTTGCAGAACCACTCAAACATTTCGACAGTGTTACCAAAATTAAGTAAACAAAACAAACTGGCATGTATTTATATATTGATTTATTTGTATACCACCCAATTTGTTGCATAAGTCTTCACCTCCTTTGCTGTAACATGTCTAAGTAAGCTCTGGTACCATTCACTGCTTCTGGAAATACTGCCTCACATGTGGTAGTTGAATCAAGTCCATCTCTGTGCAATTCCAGTGCAACATGATCTCAGATGAAATATAACTGTTTCTGGAAGACTCCAGAGTTTGTTGGAGAGCATATCTCAACAAACAGTATTACGAAGACCAGGAAACTATCAAAACAGTTCCAGGATAAAGATTGTGCAAGAGCACCATTCAAAGGGGGTTATTTAAAAAAGATCCCAAAGTATAAACAAAGAAATAGAGCAAGTCAGAAGGGGCTGCCTGGGCCATCTTAGTCTGAACCCCGGCTCCAGCCGGCTCCACTCAGGACATGCCCACCATGTGCATATCTAGCCTATCTTTGAACACCCTCACCAATGGGGCCTCAACCACCTCCCGTGGAAGCCCATTCCACACCCTCAGGGTCCTAACCGTCAGGAAGTGCTTCCTGACATCTAAATGGAACGTTGGTTCCCTGAGCTTTGCTCCATTGGAGCGCGTTCTGCCCTCCTCTGCAGGGGAGAACAGGTCTCTACTCACCTCCGTGTGACACCCCCACACATACCCGTATGTTGCCAACAGATCCCTTCTGAGTCTCCTCCAGGCTGAAAAGACCCAGCTCCCTCAGTCTCGCCTCATATGGCTTTCCCTGCAAACTGGCCACCAACCTTGTGGCCCTACGCTGCACTGACTCTAACCAGGCTATATCCTTCCTGTAACAAGGGGCCCAAAACTGAACAAAATACTCCCGTTGCGGGCACACCAGAGTCGTATAGAGTGACAGTAATACCTCTCTCGATCTAGAAGCTACACTTCTGGCTATGCAGCCAAGGGTGGCTTTCACCCTCTTGACCACGGCATCATACTGCTGACTCATGTTTAGCCTGCAGTCAACCAGCACCCTAAGATCCCTTTTACAAGTGCTCACACGTATAAACATGCCCCATAAAACATTCTTAAATCCATTATTACAAAATTCAAACAAATGTGGTTTAACCATAACTCTGCCTAGAGAAGTCTGTGACCAGGTGTGGAGGGCACTAGAGAAGCAACCAGAGAGCTGATGGTAACTCTGAAGCAGCTGGAGAGATCTGCAGCTAAAGAGGGGGTGGGGGCATTATCCATGGGAGAATGATCAGCTGGACACTCCAGAAAGATTGTTTTATGAAAAGAGGGCCAAGAAAAAAGAAAGCCTATACCAAAATCTGTTTGGGGTTTCCAATGACATGCAGGAGACACAGCGAACATGTGGGAAAAGGTTATCTGGCCTGGTGAGCCTAAAACTCACCAGATAAACTTTTGGGCCTTGCTGTGTAGCAGAAAGCTAGAAGTGCATATTGCCCTGAGAATGACATCCCCACAGTGAAGCATAAAGGTGCCAGCGTCATGTCATGAAATGTTTTCACTGGGTAAATTGCACCCTATGATTTGCCTCCTGAGAGGACTTACGCCAATTTAGTCGTTTCAAGAGGGAGCAAAGACACAATGGAGGCTCAAAACTAATTTTTATTAGCAGACTTCAGCTGAAGGATGACAAACCACTGCCTTAAAAACAAAGCAGTCTTCACATCTGTGTGGTGCAGTAGTTGTGAATCTATCCAAAGCGGTCAGTCACTCAAGTCTCCCTTATATGGTCCACAAGTAGTCTAGCTCAGCCTACCTAGTCATTCCACGTGTTGCATTGCATAAGGCTTGTGTTCACAATTGCTAGGCTGCATTCTATCTAACAGCAGGGACTAGGAAACTGGTCAGGATTGAAAGCAGAACAGATGGTGCTAAGCCAGGAAAGTTCTAGGGGAAAACCCCATGTCCACCTGCAAGGATTGGGTGGAATTTTACCTTCCAGCAGGACAAGAACGAGGCGGGGTAGGGCTGTGCCAGCTGCACCCTTTCAACCAGCTA